GTTGGTTTTATCAAAAATGAACACATGACTTAAAGGTATATGGAGAGAATTAAATTAAATTCAATTCAGTTTATTTCTATAGAGCCAGTTTAGAATACATTTAGAATTGGATACCTATTATTAGTATACTAGAATTGGATACCTATTTTCTACTTTTATTTGAGTAAAAAATTTTAACATTATATCTTGCACTAATAAAAGGAAACAGGGCCATTTATTTGTCTGGAAGAATTTTTTTACTTTAAGTCGGAGGTATATTTCTATAAGGCATGTATTAATTAGCTTGTTGGGGATCCTTTCCTCTTTTTGGTGAAAAACTTGTTTCCATTCTTTCAAACATCTAAAAAACAAAATTAGAAAACTTTCTGGAGCGGTGGAAAACACCCTATAAATAAGTATGTTTCTGCAAAAATAAAGAGTACATAAGTAATTTTGTGGCATTTGGGTTATGTCACAAAATTTGGTACACTGCAAGAAATACATTTCAGATGAATATGCTTCACCTATGTGTTTTATGGAGGAAAAAAATCTAGAAAGAATTTGGAATATTGAAGGAATAACTTAGATTTTGTTTTTATTTATTTATTTATTTTAGACACCTGTTTTTTATGCAGCATACGTATAAAAGCAGACATCCTAAACTACATTTAGGTAATAAGGAAGGCCTTAAAAAAAAATCTTTTGTACATTTTTTAATTACTCATGAGCTGTTGTGTAGGGAAACTTAAATGCAAGCAGGAGGAGGAAAAAGAAAGTTGCTACATGAAACAGCAATAAATCCTCCAGCAAGCCATACCAGAACCAACATCATACATTTATTAATATGTATGGCATTAGAGTAAAAACAAACTTTAGAGTTAGGAGACTTTAAAACATATCCTCAGAGGATGTGAAAGTACAAAGCAAGTTATGTTAACTGTTGCCTAAGGTCGTGAATGTGGGAAGAAGAGAAATAAAAGTAACATGTTCAGCAAATTCTAAAACTGGCTTAAAATTGAAAAAAGAAAATAAAATCTAGAAGAATACAGAAGACTGGGGTTTTCAACGTTTTCCAGGCCAAGGACCCCCAAATTAATAGCTAGATAGAACGGGGACCCCCTAATAATACATATTGTGTGAATTTGTGTTATATCAAACTGGTCCTATAGTCACTCTATTACATGTGGTCATGTAATAAAAGTAATTTCTCGGTGGGATTATATAAGTATTTCTGATTCTGATTCGTGCATTGATGACTGAAAGACATCTTCTGCATCCATTTACCTGTTTACTATATGTGTATTTAAAGACATTTCAATTAGTGGAAAAAAATTGCAGGGGGATATAAAATAAAAAGTCTAATCAACCAAACCTTTCGTGAACCCCATGCAGTACCTCTGTAGACCCCCTAGGGGCCACGGACCCCCTGTTGAAGACCTCCGCTGTAAGAACAAAGGGACTAAAACCAGATATAATAAATCAGAATGCAAATCAGGAAGATAAGAAAAACAATTACAGCATCCAATGAAAAGGGATTTTGTTGACACTGTACAACTGCTGTTTGTTTGTTGTTTTATACAAAAAGAACATTAGGAGATTCAAACTTAACATTTTATTATTATCTGCAATTAGGCTTTGGTCCAACATTGGAAAATCTGCCAGAAGGGGGAGACATGCTCCCTCCTGTATATGGTAAGCCATATCCTTTTGCCTACTTTAGAAATTATAAACAGGACTATTTCAAAACTCATTACTTTGTGTGACACTATTACAGATACTGAGATAAGATGTAAAAACTTCACTGATGAGAGAGATGAGCTGAAAAGAAAACTGGAGGACTTTGGTAAATAGATGGTGAAACAAATCATTAAAGTTTGGGTTCAGCAAAAAACAAGGATTTTATGACTTTTTACCACATTTCCAATTGATAATACAGTTGTACTTGCAAATTATCATGAAAGTGCCTTTACTTCAAAATGACACCTTTAATTTTAAAGTGTTACTTAGAATTCATTTGTTAATGTATATCCAGCATAATGTCCTTGGATATCAGTGCTTTTTTCCCCTTGCCTGACCAAGGAAAAAAGCTAAATAAAAATAACTATTCAATTAAATTTGATTTATAATTGATTTGTTTGGATAGCCTCTAAGGAGATTTCGCTGGCTGCAGAGAGAGCTGACCTGAAGAAAAAAGTGGACAATCTTGGTGAGCAGGACTTAAAGTAATAAAAAATAAAGCAATGGAATATATTAATTTAAGGATGTTAACATTTAATTATGACATTATGTCCATGCAAATGTTAGTTTTACAGCATAATTCCCTGACTGAAGAGAGAGACAAGTTGAAGAAGAGCAACGCGGGTAAATACTAGTGTTTGCAACTAGTAAACACTACAATCTAGTGCTTATTAAATTTTAAGACAATCATCTATTCAGAGTAATTTTTAGGTCTTGCTCCGACATCTTTGGAGAACTTGCAGGTTTTGAGTGTAATCCTGACATTTTTATGTTGTATAAAATAAAATTAAAATATGGTTAAATGTGTTTCTAGATATCGAGTCCAGTAACAAAAACCTGACTGAAGAGAGAGGTGCGATGAAGACGAAGCTAGATAACATTGGTAAGTGTGGCCTGTTAGATTGAACTTCTCTTAGCTGAGTTTTGAACATCTACTTACTTTAGAATTGCTAAGGTCTTCCCTCTTTTTGGCAGTTTCACAAGTTCATTCTCTGACTGAGGAGAGAGACAATTTGAAAAAGATTAACGTTGGTAAGTTCATGCTTATCATGTCAGTGAAAATGAAGATAATTTGGGTTGATTTTATTCTGATTCTACATTCTTGTCTAAAACAATTGCTAGTTTTCGCTGAAATCCTCTTTTTTTTATATAAAATGAAATAAAAAAGATGATTAAAATGTGTTTACAGAAATTGAGTCCAATAACAAAAACCTAATTGAAGAGAGAAGCTTGCTTAAGAAAAAGCTAAATGACTCTGGTAAGTGTAATCCATTATTGGGAAAAAAATATCGGACATATGGAAGAACTCATCAGCGCATTTTAGATTTTAATGTTCTAATTGCTCTCAGATAAGATTTGGTTTGCCCTAAAAAAAAATGTCCCCAAACTGGCAGTTTCACAGGTTAATTTGCTGAACACACAGAACGATGAGTTAAAGACGACGAGCACTGGTGAGTAAATTGCTGTTAATATCTGGTTTAATCAACAACTTCTTAGTTTGTATTAGAAAATTAGATCATTAAAGAAAGTAATCATTTATGATAATTATATAATAGGTTCTGAGGCCAAATCAAGACGTCTAGCAAGGGAACGAGACGACCTGAAGAGCCAACTGAATACCTGTAGTAAGTATTACAAAAGTATAACAATGTGATTTTATTAAAAGTTTTAGGGCTTTTTAACTTTTTAAATAAATGTACTTATTAAACATTTTGACTCCAATGAAAACATGTTACTATGCCCTGAATTTATGAAGAATATATACAAATGTTTGTTTTCTTGCATGTCATTCAGATGCACTACACAGATGTATAATTATAACTTGTTCAATTGCAGCTTCAAAGCAAAACTCTCTGACTATTGAGAGAGACACCCTAAAGAGGGGATTTACGGGTAAGGTGGATAACTCTCTTTCATTATTGTATTACTTTAAACATTGAAATCAGATCACATGTTGTCATTGACTTGGATAATTCACTCCTCTGGGTGAGCATGTAACAACAGTGGACAGTCACTTCAATTGTGATGGTGACTTTGCTGCAATCCTTCACACTGAGCATGCATTTAACAACAATATAAAGGAAAAAACACCTTTAATAGGAAGGAACCAGAAACCAAACCATGCCCTGTTTAAATGGCCCTCTGCCAGTAAAGGATGTGAGCAGAAAGAGCATTCACAAGAAAGAAAGAAATTAGAAAAATCTGTTTCAGGTTCTGAAGAAGTGTCCGAAAGCCTTAGAGTGGAGAAAGAAGAGCTCAACAAGAGGCTGAACACCTGCAGTAAGTTTAGAGATTAAACACAGTTTGCATCATATATATACAATATCATTAGAAATGTCTATAAAATGAGGGTTTTTTTCATTTAGAGAACCATTGGTTTGTGACTGAGATAATATTTCGTTTGTGGCAGATTCAGAGAAGAGCTCCCTGACAACAGAAAAAGATGAGTTGAAGGAGAAAATGAATGATTTTGGTGAGTATGACCCTCAGTCTGTGAATCATTGTCTTATAATAAATAGCAAATTGTTTTCTAATTAATTATATTTATGTCAAAGGTTAAAAAAGAAGCTTTGTTGTTTACTAGGAAGCTGACTAGTATTTGAATTCAGGGATTTCTTTCCGCGACATAACAGTCCAACCCTATAACTGAACACAGATTTATTTTCTTATAGATACACAGAGGACATTATTTTTTTAAGAGAATTTTCTCACTGCTATCAGAAAAAAAGGGTTATTGTTTGATTGAAAATTATTTTGAAAAATCCATCTGCCTGGAGTATAAATAATTCTGTCCCTAAAATATGTGTGTGTGTGTGGGGGGGGGGGGGGGGGGGGGACAAACGTATTGCATGAAAATAACTATGAAATAAACACATTCATATTCAAACTGTTATGTTAAATATTTTAATTTTAAAGTGAACAAATTTAATGTTTATAGTTCTGTTGTATACTAATGGAAGTCTGCATTGTCATGATAGCTTCACAAGTTAACTCCCTGTCTGAAGAGAGAAACACACTGAAGAATGCAAAAACTGGTAAGTGTGATGATTTAATCAAACACTATACATGTTGAAATGATTTTATTAATTCCTAACATCTGGATTATAAGGTCAGCTAGTGGGATTTGTGTGCGAGCAGGTATTACCGATTTATTTTTTCTGCTGTAAAATAAAGAAAGTGAACAGGAGGATCCATGAGGATGAATGTGTCAGAATTAAGTCAGGTACTAAAAAAAAATCAAAAAATCGTTATGGTTTGTTTATTTCAGCTATTGAGGCCAAATCCAAAAGTCTCACAGCAGAACGAGACAACCTGAAGGGACAACTAAATACCTGCAGTAAGTATGGAAACTAAACTCTAACAGGTTTATTGGTTCTGCAGCAGCAGGAACTAATATGATTCCAAACTGTGAATTTTAAACAAACAATAATATAAACTGATATTGATATAATATATAACAGTAAAGATCAATTTTGTAGTTTCTAATGTCTTACTTTGACAACGAAAAGTTATTTAAGGGATTATTTCTACTGGCTATAATTATTTTCCCTCCGCTTGTAATGTCATCTTTTGTAATTAAAGGTAATCTGATTCACTTACAGCTTCACAGCTAAATTCTTTGACCAATGAGAGAGACACACTGAAGAGGAAAAACACAGGTACCATAGTTTTATATTATTTACATTTTTGTTCACCGACTCTTGGTTGTAAGCCTTTAAACAGTATGTTAATAAAAGAAAACTGGTAAGAAGGAAATCTTTTTTTGTCATTGCTTAAACCTCAGAGCTCAAATTAATCCTGATACAGCTTAAACCGATTTAAAGAAAAAAATTAAATGTATTGTATGATGATCCTGGTTTTTTTTAAGCTATCGAGGTCACATCCAGGAGTCTGACAACAGAACGAGACAACCTGAAGAGACAACTGAATACCTGCAGTAAGTATGGATGTAACCTTTATAAAACTATAATTTTAATGGAAAAATTAGAGTAGAATTTAATAGAAAAACAAAAGGTGACACTATATGACAGGAAAACTAGGTTTAAAATTTTATATGGCATTACCAAGTACATTTGAGGGCAGTTTTGTCTGAGACTGTGATTTTAGCTTGCTTTTAATGCTGCTACTCATTTTCCTGTGGATGTGAAGAGAGAAAAAGTATAAGTTTCCTTTTCTTACAGCTTTACAGCAAAATTCTCTGGCTAATGAGAGAGACGGGCTAAAGAGGACAAACACTGGTGAGATGGAGAATGACACTGCTCTCATTTTCAGTTTGATCCAAATCAAATCTGTTTATGGATGTACAATTGATTATTAAGGGAATTTATCTTAATTAACTTCCCAAACCAGCCAGATCTAATCAATATTGTATAAGATACTGTATGATTGGTTTGCTTCAGTTTCACATAGAGATTCAAAGTAATTAATTTGTCTTACATGTAAAATAATGCAGTGGAATTCCTACTATTACACTAGCTAAAAAAAAATAAAATAAATAAATCCAGTTTAAGTAGAACCTGGAGAGGATCTAGAGGGATGTCAGGGGGGTAATCGCCACCCTTAGCCAATCATAGGTTCCCCCTGTGGGCACCCCACAAGGTGATTTGTTGTTGCCCCTGAGATTTACAGTAATTCAATACCACTGGAACCAGCAGTACTCCTCTAAACCTGGTGGTAGCAGCATTGTCACTGTCATGTAGAATTTCCTACTTTTACATTTTAATGTTGGTATATTTACCAAAAACTGAATACAAACATGCAGCAAAAATCATTCACAACAATAAAGTACAAGCAGAGATACAGTTGTGGTCAAAAGTGTACATACACTTGTAAAAAATCATAATGTTATGGCTGTCTTGAGTCTTCAATAAGTTCTACAACTCTTATTTTTCTGTGATAGAGTGATCGGAACACATACATGTTTGTCACAAAAAACAGTCATAAAATTTGGTTCTTTCATAAATTTATTATGGGTCTGCTGAAAATGTCACCAAATCTGCTGGGTCAAAAATATACATACAGCAACAAAATTTGTCAACTTTGGTGATGTAGCGAGTTGTGTCAATCAAATTAGCTTCATGTCATGGCCTCTTCACTTCTTCTAAGTGATTCTGATTGACTACAGCTGTTGACTTCTCATGAGCCCATTTAAATAGGGCTCATTTGACCCAGTGATTAGACTCAGCTACAAAAGCTACAATGGGAAAGTCAAAGGAACTCAGTGTGGATCTGAAAAAGCGAATTATTGACTTGAACAAGTCAGGGAAGTCACTTGGAGCCATTTCAAAGCAGCTACAGGTCCCAAGAGCAACTGTGCAGACAATTATACGCAAGTATAAAGTGCATGGAACAGTTGTGTCACTGCCACGATCAGGAAGAAAACGCAAGCTATCACATGCTGCCGAGAGGAGATTGGTCAGGATGGTCAAGAGTCAACCAAGAATCACCAAGAAGCAGGTCTGCAAGGATTTGGAAGCTGATGGAACACAGGTGTCAGTCTCCACAGTCAAGCGTGTTTTACATCGGCATGGACTGAGAGGCTGCCGTGCAAGAAAGAAGCCCTTGCTCCAGAAAAGGCACCTTAAGACTCGGCTGAAGTTTGCTGCTGATCACATGGACAAAGATAAAACCTTCTGGAGGAAAGTTCTCTGGTCAGACGAAACAAAAATTGAGCTGTTTGGCCACAACACCCAGCAATATGTTTGGAGGAGAAAAGGTGAGGCCTTTAATCCCAGGAACACCATGCCTACTGTCAAGCATGGTGGTGGTAGTATTATGCTCTGGGGATGTTTTGCTGCCAGTGGAACTGGTTCTTTGCAGAAAGTAAATGGGATAATGAAGAAGGAGGATTACCTCCAAATTCGGCAGGAAAACTTAAAACCATCAGCCCGAAGGTTGGGTCTTGGGCGCAGTTGGGTGTTCCAACAAGACAATGACCCAAAACACACATCAAAAGTGGTAAAGGAATGGCTAAACCAGGCTAGAATTAAGGTTTTAGAATGGCCTTCCCAAAGTCCTGACTTAAACCCCATTGAGAACATGTGGACAGTGCTAAAGAAACAGGTTCATGCAAGAAAACCATCACATTTAGCTGAACTGCACCAATTCTGTCAAGAAGAGTGGTCAAACATTCGACCTGAAGCTTGCCAGGACCTTGTGGATGGCTACCAAAAGCGCCTAGTTGCCGTGAAAATGGCCAAGGGACATGTAACCAAATACTAATGTTGCTGTATGTATATTTTTGACCCAGCAGATTTGGTGACATTTTCAGCAGACCCATAATAAATTTATGAAAGAACCAAATTTTATGACTGTTTTTTGTGACAAACATGTATGTGTTCCGATCACTCTATCACAGAAAAATAAGAGTTGTAGAACTTATTGAAGACTCAAGACAGCCATAACATTATGATTTTTTACAAGTGTATGTACACTTTTGACCACAACTGTAACTTATACAAAATGTTTGCTCTTTTATAAATTAGTTTTTAGGTTTTAAATGGGAGAATTTGTCTCGGCAGTCACCTAGGAGTCTTCCATGTAATTAAATATAAAAAAGATTGCTCCACCTATTTAATGTATACATTATGTAGAACCATAAATTCATTTAAATGGAACTAATGTACAAATATGTGCATAGCTTTATCAGCAAGGACCCCAATGAAAATCTGGTCTGTCTCCAGTGATTTATTTGGAAAATATAGATGTTGTGTGCATTCATTTCCTGCTGGTTTATTTTGATCAGAATAGATTGACCATAAGATGTTTTTGCCCCCTATCAGTTTTCAGTCACCTCTCAGTGCAAATTGGCCCCTCCTGACCACCCTTATGAAAAATTTTCTTGAACTGCCACTGGCCAGGCACCATGCTAATGTGGACCTTGGCTACCCTTGGAAAAATGTCCTAGAACCGCCACTGAGTAAAACCTACTCACTATACCAGCGTGGTAAAGAGCTGTTACAACTCGATTTCAGAGGCGGGACTAATAGGGTCAGCCTCATTAGGTTAAAACCAATCAGATAACAACAGATGTGACACAAAAACTCAAAGCTCTGTTTTTTTTTTGTTTTTTTTTTTTTCGTTTTGTAGTCCGTGAACCATTTTAAGCAGTGGAAGAAACTCTCCAGTGAATGGTTTCTATCACTTTTGCCTAAAAACCTCTGAAGATATAAGCTAAACTACCGCTGCTGCATTAGGGATAATTCTGGCCCACTTCTTGTGCCCTGATTGGTCCAAATTTAAATTGAGTAATTCAGTCTGGCTGGCCAGGTTAGGTAAAACCAGTCCTCTGCAAAGTGATTCCTCCATTCTACAGTGATTCCTCCTCCTGAACGAGCACGAGAAGAATGTTATTATTTTGAGTTAGTTGTGCTGAGTCGTTACCTTTATAGTAACCTGCCATACTAAGCCAGCATGTGGCAACAGTGGAAAGGAATAATGTCCTTTAAGCAGAGAGGAACCCTCCGAAATGACCAGATTCTGGTCAGCTTCCAACTGCAGTGAGCAAGTGGGGGTGTTCAGAAGTGAAAAAGAAAAAGGAATAATCAGATTTCAGGAACTGATCATCTGTTATTCTGGTAATTCCAGAGTTGTGCAGCTCATGCATGTTTCTCTTATATCATTTATTTTAAAACAATCCTGCCCCCTGTCGGATTATATGTGTAACCTCTATAGCTTCCACAACCCACAGGCAGGTTAAATGGCCCATGAGGGGGTCAAAAAATTATGATGTACATTAACATCTGAATGTAAAAATAATATTTAGATTGTCTTTTCTGATACTACTGAGCTATAATAGTTGTCAGTTTCCATACCTTTAGCCGTCTACGTAAAACTGCATGAAAAAAAAAAGAAAACAGGCCAGGCTAGGCCAAAATATTAAATCTTTTATGTAATCCAAATGTAATAATTGCAAATGATTGATACCTAAATTAAGTTGCTTTTATAGAGAGATTAGGCTTTTGTTTTTGCACCAAAAGGTTTAAAAAAAAACATCTGATACAACTTAGTATATATTTTACAAGCTTTTTTTTATAAAATCTTTATAAAATATAAAAATGATAAAACCAATGAAATTATGTCCTATGCAGTCACAACTTCAAACATAAATCCTCCTTTTTTCTATAAATAAATGAGCGTATAGAATTTATCCTCCATCCTGAATGAAACACCTGTCTGCAGTATGGTAGCTGAACAAGAGCATACATGAAATCAGAGACATTCAGAGGCTGTAAAATTGTCAAAGAACTGATTCTAAACTGAAGAAAATGAATTTATGATATGCCTAGAATCTTTATTTAGTTATTTCTGATTTAATATATTAGACTTTGTGAATTTAATTTCAGCAATTGAGGCCACATCTACAAGTCTGAAAGCAGAAAGAGACAACTTGAAAATGCAACTGGATAACTGCAGTAAGTATGGAAAATTACATTGTCTTCCTCCTACAGTACTTACTAATTTTAGAGTGACAAGTATTTTGTTTTTCATGTAGAGTATCAATTTAAATGTGGATTTATTTACTCTTTATTTACACTTTACTACCTCTTAAAAGTCAGAAAAAGATTCATTATAGTGCTGATATTACTAAATTACACAAAATTTAAAGGTAATTTAATTTTTTTTTGCAGCTTCACGGCAAACTTCTCTGACAAATGAAAGAGAGACATTGAAGAAAAGCAAAACTGGTAAAATAAAAAATAATATCTCCATCAATTACAGCACAATCTAATGTGGTTCAGCTTCATTTTTTTCATTTTATTGAACAATATTGCCATCTCAGATTACCTAAAAAACAGTTCCACTTTATTAACAGATATTTGTTCTCTTAATCGTGCAGATTTATAACTGCTTGCGTTTCATGCTGTCTAAAAGTGATGTCTGTAAGTTATGTTAAAATATTATGTTAAAGCATTATGTTAAGAACCCATAATTTAGCCTGGTTAGCTAGTGGGACTCCGGAGTCAGCTGAGAGGTACCGGCAGGCCAAGAGTGCTGCAGCTCGTGTGGTCGTAGAGGCAAAAACTCTGGGAGGAGTTCGGAGAGGCCATGGAGGAGGAGTATCGGTCGGCCTTGACAACATTCTGCTAAACTGTCCGCCGCCTAAGGAGGGGGAAGCAGTGCTTCACCAACACTGTTTACAGCGCAGGTGGGAAGCTGCTGACCTCAGCTGGGGATATTGTTGGGTGGTGGAAGGAGTGCTTGAAGGATCTCCTCAATTCCATCATCACATCTTCCAATGAGGAGGCAGAGGCTGGGGATTTAGAGGCAGACTCGCCAATCAGCCAGGCTGAAGTCACCGGGGTAGTTAATAATCTTCTAAGTAGTAAGACCCCGGGGGTGGAAGAGATTCGTCCTGAGTACCTTAAGTCTCTGGATGTTGCAGGACTGTCTTGGCTGACAAGTCTTTGCAGCATTGCGTGGTGGTCGGGGAAAGTACCCCTGTATTGGCTGACTGGGCTGGTGGTCCCGCTCTTACAAAGGGGGATTGGAGGGTGTGCTCCAATTACAGATGGATCTCACTCCTCAGCCTCCCCGGTAAGGTCTACTCCTGGGTGCTGGAGAGGAGCATCCAGTCAATAGTCGAAACTCGGATCCAGGAGGAACAATGCATTTTTTTCCCTGTCGCGGCACACTGGACCAGCTCTGTACCCTTCATCGGGTGCCCAAGGGTTCGTGGGATTTCACCCAACTAGTCCACATGTGTTTTGTTGACCTGGAGAAGGTGTTTGGCCGTGTGCCTCGTGGAGCCCTGTGGGGGGTGCTCCAGTAGCATGGGGTGTGGGGCCCTCTGGTAAGGGCTGTCAACTCTCTGTACGACCGCAGCAGGAGCTTGGTTCGCATTGCCGGCAGTAAGTCAGACCATGCATGTTGGTCTCCGCTGGGGCTGCCCTTTGTCACCGGTTCTGTTCATTACATTTAAGGACAGAATTTCTAGGCACAGCAAGGGACCAGAGGATGTCCGGTTTAGGAACCTCAGGACATCATCTCTGCTGTTAGCAGATGATTTTTTCCTGTTGGCCTCATCAAACCAGGATCTTCGGCATTCCCGGAGTTGGTTTGTTGAAGCGGCCGGGATGAGGATCAGCACCTCCAAATGCTAGGCCATGGTTCTCTACCTGAGAAAGGTGGATTCCCGTCTTCTGGTTGGTGGAGAGTCCTTGTCTCAAGTGGAAGGAGTTCAAGTATCTCTGGGTCTTGTTCACGAGTGAGAGACGGATGGAGTGTGAGATCGATAGACGGATCGGCGCAGCATCGACAGTGATGCGGTCGCTGTATCAGACTGTTGTGATGAAGAGAGAGCTTAGTCTATCTGGGTTGATCTAGGTTCTACTCTCACCTAAAGTCATGAGTCATGAGTCATGGGTAATGACCGAAAGAACAAGATCGAAAATACTAGCGAAGTGAGTTTCCTTCGCAGGGCGACTGGGCAACCTTCGAGATCGGGTGAGGAGTTCAGTTACACGGGTGGAGTTCGAAGTAAAGTCGTTGCTTCTCCACGTCGACAGGAGCCAGCTGAGGTGGCTCTGGCATCTATTCTGGATGCCTTCTGGTCGCCTCCCTCGGGAGATGTTCCAGGCATTTCCCACTGGGAGGAGGCCTCGTGGAAGGCCCAGGGCACGCTGGAGGGACTATGTCTCTGAGCTGCCCTGGTGTCGCCTTGGTGTCCCCCCAGAGCAGGTGGAGGAGGTGTGTGTGGATCGGGAAGTCTGGGCATCTCCTTTTAGACTGCTGCCTCCAGGACCCAGCTCCGGATAAAGCAGAAGAAAATGGATGGATGGGAAAATTATGCAGAATATTCTACTGTATGCATACTTACAAGATCACAAATACTCCTTTATCTATATAAATAATAATGGACAGATACAAAGTCAGATATCCATAGAATTAAGCAGAAGAGACTTCTGATATTACTGTATTGATTTATTATAAACTGTAAAAAGTTCAATTGCAAAAGAATAATTAATGTAATCTTAATAAAAATTTTAGCCATTGAGGCAACATCCAGAAGCCTCACAACAGAACGAGACAACCTGCAGAGGGAACTGAGAAGCTGCAGTAAGTATGGATTGAAACTTCGTACAATTGTAGTTTGTAATGGTTATGTAGGAACAGAAAGATGATGTATTGAAGTATAGCAACAATATAAGTTTAATATGATAATATAAATTATTCTAATTATGGCATGTTTTCTTACCTTGAAAGAAATGTTTTAATCTGCTTTTTAAGAAAGACAAAAAACTGATAAACTTTGTGTGACCCTGAATAGAAAATACATTAAATTATTTTCTGTCTTTACAGATTTGCAGAAGAATTCATTGACTCAAGAGAGAGACGGGTTAAAGAGATCAAATACTGGTAATATAGAGAAAATGTTTAAAACAATACCTGATAAATTCAATACATTACTCTCTGCCTCCAGAGCTTTGGGGAAGAAACTCCCCAAAGTCAAGAATAGTTTATTTTTTCAGTTGGTGAAATAAAAAATAAAGAGACTGGTAAATTATCATCTATAATTTATTGCAAAATCCACTGTGGAATCTTGTGTTTCAGCGATTGAAGCCCAATCCAGAACTCTATCTCTGGAAAAAAATCAGCTCACCAGGACTCTATCTACCTGCAGTAAGTTGGAAAACTATAGATTCTAAAACACTACAGGAATAACTGTAGTGTTCTATAGTGGGTGAATGTTTTTACTTAATGTCATTATTCTTTGCAATAAAATGTACTGATGTTTAACCTGCTGTGACAGCTTCAGAGAAGAACGCCTTGACTAAAGAGAAAGATGAGCAGGCGATGAAATTTAATGATTTTGGTGAGTTTTGAATTTTATTTGGTAGAACGTTTCAATAGATTTATTTATACACAAAACAAATTTGAGTTATTCAAACTGTGGGAAGAAAGACTAAATCATTTTTTTTATCTTTTTTATTTTATTTTGTTCCATCTTGTGTAATATGGCAGATATTTTGTATGAAATGTGAGAAGCGGTGAAATGTTTGTTTAAATTTTAGGTCCATTATTTAGCAAAATGTAGAAAGGGTTGTAATTTTGCATCAAATGGCTGATTTTTAAGAGCAAAGCTTTGTCTTTGAATCATCTGATCCAAGGATCAACCCCTATATCAAACATGCCTCCATCCAGCTAGGTTGAAACTCAATATGCATGTCTGAGTTTTGAACGCAGCTTTGTTGACCTCCATAGCTATCGTTGCTTCATCCTGAACTCCTTCCTGTTTTAAGCCCTTAAAAAAGAAATATTTAAGTCATTGAAACACTCAGAACTAATGTTGCAGAAATAATGTTGTTAAATTTTCAACTATATAATTTTATTATGGTTCTAGCCCCTTTTTGGCCACTTGTCTTATTTCATTATAAAAGGTATAGTGGAGGACGTTCTTTATCTGGGTGGATCATCAATATAAGTGGTCCTCCTTATTGTCAATCATTCCGGTGATATGTTTACATAGGGCCGTCCTACGTGCTCGTCCCAATTTTCAATAACCGGTATTGAGTCTGACATAGTGAAAAAAATGCAAAATTCTCTTTTGGAAAATAAGCTTGTATGGGCGATACAAACAGCAACTTTTAAACAGAGCATGCAAGAGTTGAAATGGGCTTGTGCGCGCTCTCACACATGTTTAATAAGCGTTCTCCCTTGGGAGCGGGTACAGAGTTGTGCATGTGCATTTTTTCTTATCAAAAATTTAAAAAATTCACAAAAATCCTCCACTATTACTTTATGACTGAGATTCTTCCAATATATCCCAACCTGTATCACATAAGTATCATTTTTCAAAAGAAACTCAATAGATAATAGAAAATTAATCCATCATTAAATCAAATCACATGCTGTCAAATTCAATTCAATTCAATTCAGTTTATTTATATAGCACCAAATTCACAACACATGTCATCTCAAGGCACTTTACAGTTCGACCAGATCATACAGTCAAATTGATACAAAGTTTTCTATCTAAGGAAAACCAGTTGATTGCATTGACTCAAATACAATCCCTCACATTAAGCATGCTCGTAGCGACAGTGGAGAGGAAAAACTCCCTTTTAAAAGGAAGAAACCTCCAGCAGAACCAGGCTCAGTGTGAGCGGCTATCTGCCGAGGCCGACTGGGGTTCAAGGAGACAGAAGCAGAGACACAAAAAGCAGTTGTAAAAGGCGGCCCAGGAAACACACAGCCAGGCAGACGAGCTCCGAGCCAGCTACCATGCCAGAGGACGAAGAGAGCACATTCAGCCAGTCACGGTCAGAGAAACAGGACCACACTGGAAAACAGGCCGATCTCCAACATCTATAAACAAGGGTGTTGATGGAAGCAGCACAGCTGATGTTTCTTTCCAGGATGACGTCACAGCCAAACAGGAACAGACGAGGCAAAGCTACTCTGAGGAAAAGCAGAGAGAGCAGAACGTTAGAGATTGAACTAACAGATACTGCAGAATAGGAGAATAGAGAAAGAATGAAGCAGAATGATGAAATGGGGGTCCCTATGTCCTCCAGAAGTCTAAGCCTATAGCAGCATAACTATAGAGATAAATGCATTATGAATTTGTGAAGGGTCAGTTCTAAACTACCACATGCAGAAGTCATTTCATATCCGGTTACAAACAGTCAAAATCCTGCAAAATTTTAAATATCCACAATAAAATAACATGAAATAGCTATCAGTCTTTCATATATTTTTATTTTTGCTTTGCTCATTTAAGAATTTTAATGAAGAATAAGTAAACTTGCAAAAACAGAAACATGAAAACAGGAGGTAAACAGCAGGACTCAGTTACTAACAAAAACAACTGAGGACTTAAATCTTGAATTATGAGCAGACACAGGTAAATGGGATGTACTAATTATCTGATGGCAGATAAACAGGGGCAACTAGTGAGAAAAGCAAGGAAGAAACCAAAACATCCTACCTAGTAATAAAGAATAAATTAATGAGAAAACACTAAGAGGAATTAATGGCAAAACAAGGATACAAAATGAAAACCACAATATCTATGTGATATGTATTCAAATGATAAAATGCAAAAGGTATGATTTTAATCATCATTTCCCTGCTATTGTTGGATATTGCATTAATAGTTTCTTCTTTTTGGTTTTGGCTTTTAGCTCAGTTTGCAGTGCAGCAGAAATGGCTGTATTACAGTGGCAGTTTCTATTTTATTTCTACAACCAAGAAGAACTGGATAAGCAGTCGGTATGACTGCAAGCGTAATGGGGCAGACCTGGTGATTATAAACAGCAGAGAAGAAGAGGTTTGTATATTAATATTTGATTTATTTGACTGTTATTTTTTTAGACAACATTTTACTTCTACTCCTTACCTTTTAAAAATAGACTCATTAGTTTTGTTCCATTTAAGCTAATTTTCCTTATGGCCTGTTGGTATTTAAATAAATAAAAACCATCAAAATAATTAGTTTCATCCGGACAATTATTTTCTCTGTGGTTGGACTCCGTAGGGTGCTGCCCCAACTTGTTGTAGGTTTAAAGCTTCTGTCCTTAAAATGTTTCCCTGCATTACTTTTACTTTTGTTCTTTAAGTAGTTTTAAAAATGCTAATTTTACACTTTTACTTGAGTAAAAAGCTTAAGTTGATACTCTAACTTCTAAAAAAAGGGTTTTTAAACAGCAAGATTTCTACTTCTACTTGAGTAATAAACAATGATCCTTTTGACACCTTTGTTTATTTGAACTTAAATATATTCCTTAATTTCTCAGACAATGTTGTCTTCTGCTCACTGAAGTCTACGAGATGACTATTTGATAGGACCATGCCTGTTAATGAAATGTGATTACACTCTTTGTAACTTATGACCATTATGGAATATTAATTGAATGCTGTTAACAAAAGCTTTAAGTTTTATGACTTTTTGGAGCATCAGCCTGTATTTTTATTTTTTTCACAAGTGATCAAGAGAAAAATCTTTCCAGGAATTCCAAATGTCTTACAAATGTTGCTGTAGATGTTACGAATCTTGACTATCAAACAATTAATTACTTATTTATATGTTTGTGTTATGAAGCTATTTACAAGGAATTTTAAAAAGAAGGCCTGGATTGGTCTACATGACAGAATAAGAGAGGGAAACTGGCAATGGGTGGATGGGACTGCGCTATCAGAGAGGTTTTTCATTGTTTAATCAAATTCAATCATGATAACACAAGTATCTTCAAAAATCTGCTCCAAACTATACATATAAACAATGTTGGTGTTCTTTGGTTTCAGCTACTGGAAGTCTGGAGCGCCGAACCATTATATGGGCAGAAATGAGGACTGTGCAGAGATACAGAAATTCGATTCTGAAGAGAGCTGGAACGATGCTGCATGCGAAAACGAAAACTACTGGATATGTGAAAAGATCTTTAATTTTAATGGATGACTTTTCGGGAAAGTGTGTAAAGTCTGATTTTTTTTTTTACAGAAGTTTCTTATGAAGATATGCTTCAGTTATTCTTTGATCGATTTCGTCATGGATGTAATCAGTACAGTGCAAGAATGTGACCACTGAATTTATTGCCATACTCCTTGGTGTTCCGCTCATGAGTTATCTTAAAACTTTTATATTAATCTCTTTGCAATATATAAAAATAAATCAGATTTGTCTCATAAGATCATGGCAAAAAAAAGAGCCTCAGTACAGAAAATCAGCTGTTTCATTTAACGTTCATGATGGTGTACTTTTAGTTTGCACACACATTATTGCTCCAGATTAACACTATTCTAAGAAGGGGCTTAATTGGTGTGCTGCATTTGTGAAGGAAAAAATCCCAACTGAATACTCTTTCAAAGAGTTTCCCTCCTCATGGGGCAGGACATTTTTATTCAGACTATAGGGAAGATGTAGAAGAATATCTAAGAGCATTTGTGATACCCTGGGTGGTAGCAGTGTGAGTGGACAGTATGCAACTGAGAAGCCGATATGCAGATTCACAATGTTTACCTTAAAGGAATAGTACACCCAAAACATGATTAGCCTTCATTTTCTATTCACCCCCATGCTGAACAACACTCTGGAGTACTTTTTTGATATCTCAAATGCATCTGGAGATCTGGGAGGCTTCTTGCTGTCTGCTGACATTCAAATAATGGAGGTCCATGGTGCCCGAGACAGAAAGGTCCATAAAAGTCCACAAAAAACGTGTCAATATTCCTCCATACTGCTCGTCCAATGTATTCCAAGTGTCCTGAGTGGGTAGCGTCCATAATTTACTCGAAAAGAAGTCATTTAGAATGTTTTTAGAGCATAAACAGTAGTGTATAGGATTTCCTGAAAGCGCGCGCCTGTGAGTTCACGGCGCTACGGAAGCCGCGGCAGACCAAACCAGATGAAAGTGCGCATTTAGCTCGGCAAAGAACTCATGCTCTTCCTCAACACTGAAGTCCTCAGACATTTTTCTTTCGTTGTTTCTTTCTTTGCACAGGTAAACAGCACATTTCTTCTTCTACGCTTGCATTATTGGCAGAGCAGACGCTGAATGCGCACTTTCATCTGGTTTGGTCTGCCGGCTTCCGTAGCGTAGTGAACGCGCAGGCGCGCGCTTTCAGGAAATCCTATACACTACTGTTTATGCTCTAAAAACATTCTAAATGACTTTGTTTCGAGTAAATTCTGGATGCTACCCACTCAGGCCACTTGGAATACATTGGATGAGCAGTATGGAGGAATATTGACACGTTTTTTGTGGACTTTTATGGACCTGTCTTTCTCTGGCACCATAGACCTCCATTATTTGAATGTCAGCAGACAGCAAGAAGCCTCCCAGATCTCCAGATGCATTTGAGATATCAAAAAAGTACTCCAGAGTGTTGTTCAGCATGGGGGTGAGTAGAAAATGAAGGCTAATCATGTTTTGGGTGTACTATTCCTTAAAGAGCCAAATTAGATTTCAAGATTTGTCATAATCAAAAAAACATCTGAATTGTCTTGGAGTTTCTTAATATTGCAGGGTGGTCCAAGTCATGTCTAAGGAGAGCCTCGAAACCAAACGAATAATCTCAAACTGATATATAAATGATATATAAAACTGGAAGGTTCAAATGTTTATATTTTACCCTCAGTGCTTTTAAGAGTTCAATTTTTTTGGTTTTCTGTTTTATGAAAAAGTTACAAGAGGAAAACCATAACCATGACTCTTTGTTGGAGTTAAGTAACTCCTTAGCAGCCGGTTTTGAATCATTAGATAAACACACCTTTTAGAAAGTCCAAGGGATCCTTTCAAATTAAGAGCATGCCCAAGTGTTTTGAGCTGGATTTAACTCTGCTTGTTTTCTAGTCTTTAAAAATGCATACAATTATCTGACATTTTTCAGATGTATACGCCACTATAAATAAATTTAGTGTCAAAATAAAATGTTGACTATAATGTCCCAATAACTTGTACTTTGAAAGGTCCTGCACAAACATTTGATTCTCTTATATTAGGTATTCAATAAGTCTAATATGTGTGATGTGTCCAAAATTCACCCCAGCAGAAAAATTGGCACTTAATTTAACCAAAGGGAGGTCTGTTTTAGAAAGGATTCAGGGAGGGACAGGATCTTGAATCATTGAGCCAATCCACTTTTACATCTATGCAAATGAACATGCAGTCAGCATCACAGATCTTAAGCATTAAAATGAGTTTAGGTAATGTAATTAGGATAATAAATGTGTCTGACAAACCCAACTCACTCTTACCTGAAAACCTTTAATCTTAATGTGTGTGCTGTCCAGCACACAGTTCATTTCTTTCATTTGTAGCTCAAATCATGTTTACTTCAATACTTTAAAATCCCTCCTTGATGTAATTCATTCTTCTGTGGCTGGGGAAGGTTATGAAGATGTATTTTTACACCAAATTCACACTCCTGGTGTGGCAAATATGAGCTTTGCTAAGATTTTCAGATTCTCCTACAGCGAACATGCTAGCGATGCACCCTTGTAATGTACAGGGAAAATTTTGTATGGACAACATTGTAAAGACACGTTGGAGCTACTTTTGACTACTCAACACATGCAATATAGTATAGGCCAGTCTATACACAGAACAGGGTTCGTCAAACAAAAATTCCCAAATTAAGACCACTTGGAAAAATATAAATGGTTTAGGATACCATTTACTAGATAACTTTACTAAATATATCAATTTTTAAATGTTGGCAGGTAAATATCAAAGCAGTAAAGCAACATACGTACAGCATGACACCAACTGAGCAAGTAAGGCACCAGGATTTACACCAGCTTTTAGCCTGGTCTGGAACAGGCTAGCTGCACAGAATAAATCATAAATCAGTGCTGCTGTGCTTTGTGAAACGAGACTTAAGGCAGGATATCTGGAAAATCCCAGCTTCATATAGTCCGGTCAAGATCTATGGTAAACCTGGATTGATCCATCACAGCACTTCAGCTTCACCAAGGAATAGTCATGGATGAAACCTTTGTGGTACATTTGCACACTTGCAGTGGATCCATCAGCAGGATAGGCCATGTCAAAGCTCAGATCCCGTTAAAAATTAACCTGAACTAGAACACCTGCCAGTCACCAGCTCATCCACATGTGAACCAAAAATCCAGGGTGTGCAAGCTAGAAATCTGCCTTAGCTTTGTGTTGACACCATGTCAGTATAGACAAACCTCTGAAGGACATTTTCCATTTAAATATTTAAGAATATACAGTCGATCTGTAGATTGCACAAATAAAAATTGCATCTTGTTTATAAACAAATGACATGTTTAAGCCATTGTTTTGCATTAATCCTGCATGCACCACCACTTTATTCACCTGCTGCAGCCTTAAAGCAGAACAAACTTCCCACCAGAGCCAGCAGCACCCATTTACATTCAAATTAAACATTTATTGGATCAACACTAAAACTCCATTTTACATTCAACACGTAGAACAAGTGTTACAATCTATAAAAATATTTTCTATTTACAAAAGATTCAGCCCAGCAGCCTGAGAATAAAACCCTAAAGGTGAAGTCCAGTCAGTGTCCAAACATCTCCTGAGAGGCGTACGTCATGTAGAGGAAGCCGTCCTCATCCTGGTGGTCCTTGTACACCTGAGCCATGGTGAGGGACATGCTGGCCAACCCGCTGTTGTTTATGAGTAGGTAGAAGGCCTGACTGGGCAACAACGCCATCCGGTTCCTGGGAGGGCAGAGACACCAAGGCAGAGGTCAGCTCTCAGGAGGGTATTGCATCAATTAATCTACAGCACCACCTGGTGGCCACACTTGGAATATATCAGCCCAAAAAATTTAGATTTCAGAGAATTTAAGATTAAACATGAGTGATTAAGGACCTCATGATCAAATTCAGTGCATCAAGAAGAAGCATTCAGAATATTTGTCACCAGCTTTAAAAAAAAAAAAAAACAAGCCAGAGATTTTTCAGGAACTGAGCTTTAAAAGTGCTCCTATTTTTAGAAACATTGTGATAGTTTTCAGCATGCAGCCTAGTAAGTCAGGCAACAGGGCTTTTAAATATCCAGATCATTATAGAACCATAAACACCTGTAAAGTTTTAAGGAAAGGGCCACTAAGTGTGTCAAAAACCTCTTAAAGAACCAAGATTTAGAAAGGAAGTTTTATCTCATGTTACCAACTTTTTTTTTTTTTTTTTTAACTATAGCAAATCCTTAAAGGAATCAAGAAAAAAAAAAAACTCGAACAGAGTAACTGATCAGCTGAAGAAATGTGCTCTGGATCCAGAAAGAATTAAGATGACACAGACATTAAAGTCTGGCTGCCTGGAAGGAACAGGCTGGAGTTAAAGACATGAGCTGTGTTCCCCATGTTCTAAGGCAAAACAGAGGCTCTGCTTGATCCAGACCTGGTTTGGACTGATTGGATCAGTAACAGACGTAAACGGTACCATCACATGTTCTCCATTAGAGCCTGCAGCAATCTGGACTGATTCACCAAAAATGTATTTATGCAGAGTCACCATGAGCTGGTCAAAAAGAGGAAGACTGGAAATGTGTGGTGATTCAACCCACCAGCAGACCAGAACTACTTTCTCCAGGTTCTGAGAAACGTTCTATCCTTGAACAGAACCTAGCAGAACACATCCATCAGATGAATTGATTTATTGGGAGGTCAGGACCTTTCCTCATTGACTGCAGGAATTGATTTTAGAAATCAGTCCTAGATAAGAAAAGGTGGCTGACAGTTCATAATGCTTGAGTAGAAGGACCAGAACCAGCCAGAAACATCTGGAATCAGTCTAATCAGGTGAGGGCTGGCTCCTCATGTTACAGGAATTAAACCTTTCCCTTTAGCTGCATGCCTGCCTGGCATTCCAAGAATTCCCAGAACACAAAACTTCAAGATCCAAGCTGCATCTAAAACTTCCATTTGATTCAATAGTCACATTATGCGTTCAACATGCATGATCACGCACAGCCTCAAGCACGCACCTGATGATGGTGACGAACTGGGTCATGGTGAGTTCGTGCGGCACCAGGAACTTTGTTTTGTCCAGTGGAGGGAGGTACTTTTCCTTCTCGTAGCGTTCAATGATCACCTGAAGGTCAGAGAATCCAGGTGAGACCAAACGAACACCTCACACACACTCCTCAGTCACTTAGGAACACTCACCGGGATTTTATTGGGGAATTTGGACCTGATTCCCGCCACCTCATGTCTCCTTGTAGCTGCAGAGAGAAAAAAAAAATTAAACAATCTGTAATTTATTTCTGTCCAATTTTCGCGGTTCAGGAAACCCACCGAAGCTCTTCCTCTGTTTGAACGGTTTGTTCTGCTGCGGGGTTCTGTCGAATGGAGGCATGCTGACTGCGGACCGCAGCTCTGCGCAGCCGCTTTTAAATGTGGGCGGCTGCGGCGCATCAGCTGATTAGCGCATGGACGCAGACCCGCCGCAACATCTGCGGTTTTAAATCAAGCTGGGGACGCAGAGGAACAGGGCCGGAGGGAAGGCAGCCAGGGGCTAAAGGGGCCCCAAGATTTTTAAATAACTTTATACTTAGGAAAAGGGCTGGAGGGATGGGACCCAGGGGCCAATGGGGCCCCCAGATTTTTTGAATAACTTCTTACTTAGGAACAGGGCCGGAGGGAAGGCAGCCAGCAGAAAGGGGCTAAAGAGGCCCCAAGATTTTTAAAATAACTTCTTACTTAAAATCTGTTGACTGCATTAAGTCAATAATTACAGAAAAGCGTTTTTTTTAGAGCAGAAAGAAATAAGAGAAAGTTTGTTTGATAATATTTTATTGAGAATTTAATCAGTTCTTAAGAAAATATTGTAAAACTCAATTTTATATCTGTTTAACTGATTGTGAAATATACTTAAATCATATTTGAATATCAAATCATTCTGGCTTAATCATGTATATAAATGTGCTATTTATCAGACTATATGTTCCCAAAATTTAGAAAATTTCTATTTTTTAAAAAAAAATCTGGTCTTAAAATCTGTGTTATTTTTTTTCTCTTATTTTATGCAGATCAGTTAATTATACGTCAGCTTGTACACCTCAAACGGCTCAGCTTGCACGGCTCAAACATGTACAGCTGTAAGCCTTTTACACCAAACTATAAGCTTCTGACGCCCTGGCGTCCTCTTCCACAACATCGTCGTCCCCGCTTCTCCTCTAAATAAAAAATGCATGACAGAGGAGACTCATCCACGACCTCCGACAAAAAACTCTCCTCCTCTTGCATGTTTGTGCTGTCCATAGCGTTCCTTGACAATGTCGTTGCTAAGTGCTACTTGGTCCCAATATAATTTTAGCTAGATGCTTCCGAGACACCGACCACAACCAAACTGGCTTACAGATCTGCTAAACGACCAATTCGGAAATGCAACAGTTGGAACAGCTGCTGCAGATATGATTTATATAGGGAGAAAATGTCTTCCAATCATCAAAAACACAGTTGTGGCTTCCACCAAGCAGATCTTTCCCTCTTCATATTTCTCCTTATGTTAGCCACTAAACGATTTGAAGGTTCTAATTCTCAGTCAGTGAAACTAATTTTCTATGAGTCGACCCAGAACTTTCATGTTAGAGATGTAAAGAAACATCTTGTGTTCTCTAGGTTCTGATAACATCCCAACAAAACTAAACTGTCTTTAAAGTCTTTAATTAGCTTTCAGAACCATCAGTGGCCTTGACTGGTCCGTGTGTCTGCAGTAAGTTTCATGAACTGAAAAAAACGCTCATTTTACAAGCAGTTGTAAGGGCATGTGCGGGGAACAAAAGTAATAATATTTACCTTTTAACTTGCGTAATGCACCTTTAACAGTCAATAGATTAATGCAGAACTGATAGGCTTTTTTTCCTGATGGCTCCAGGGTTTAACGTCAGAGTGAATGAGATCATGAACAGCTCTACGCAAGTAGGTTTGATCCATATCATCTCTTTCATCCATATATCATCCAGATATATAGATGAAGGATGAGTTCATTTTTCAGCATCACAGTTCAAAGCTCTAGGATAAGGAGGAACACAGACGCAAATCTGACAGGAACATCTGTGAGTTCATCTGTGGATAAAAGCTCTCCAACAAAGCCCAGTTTGTAAATATCAGCACGGCAGAGGAAAACTTGATGTTGAAACTAGATCAGCAAACGCCTAGTTTTACAGTGTGAAAATTGACCCAGTTTTCCAAAACAGAACAGGATAAATGTCCTGGTTACGATGGAAAAGCTTCTGAAAAGATTCATTATGATCTCATCTATCTGTATCTGAAGACCCACTTCTGCAACAGGGAATTTATTCCGTCTTATAATCCGCTTTGGCATAGGCTTTATTAGAATACATTTTAATAGAAGTAGTTCTAAGTTTTGTTTCCAGGACTGATCCATTCATGTTCTTATTTCACAGCTGAATTTTCAGAACTTCTTGTTCATTTCCAGAGTTTATGAGATAAAAAACTGTTATCTTAGGTGGACTATGTTATGTTCATATAGTCTACTCCTGGTTTCCAGTTCGGAATGAGTAGTGCATGGAGGCAAGTTTCTGTTTCTCGCCCAGATGATTGAATAGAGAGACTTCTGTGTTAACGCTGCTCACATTAAAATGGTTTGTTTCAGTAGAACCTGCAGCACAGTTTAGGTTCCTATAAAATAATGAAGGCCTTCTTCAATGTGCAACGACTTTACGTTTCATTAGTGGATAACATCTAAAATATAAAGATATCTGGGTTTTACTTTGTGTCTCTGATGGACAGAACATTTGGGAAAATCCAGAACTCTGAGTCCAGATGTAACTAAGAGATAAAGTAACAGAAGAGTAAAGAACTGCTGAGGTTTTCTGCTGATAATCGACCAGGAGTCCTTCTTATCAGTGAGGCTCACATACCGATGTGCTACAGAGCCCTGTTATTACAAAACAGGTCAATTCCTCATTGATTTACAGTGACAGTAGCGCCACAGTGAGGCCCACAACACAACTTTACCATTAATCACTATATTTAACGTAAATACTGAGGTCTGTGGGGACTCTTCGCATTGAAAGGTTTCGTAAAAGTAAGAAATAACCAGAAAAGAGATAAAGATTTAATAAAAAATGTTTAAGTTTGTATAAATGTTTAATTTATCCCTCCATTTTGTTTTTTATTGCTTAGACCTTTTTACATTAGGCCCTATTTTTCTCATTTGTTTTCATCTGACTCGTGTTTCGGTTACATATCTCTATGATTCATCTTTTATTCTATTATTGAAGAACATTTTACTGAAGGAGAAGAAAGTACATGAATGTGTCAATCATCTGCGTTTGGCCAATCAGCTGTGAGGATTTAAGGTAGTAGGCGGAAGGAAGAGTATGACGTCATTACAGATGTAAGTAAAGTTATGATAGACTACTGACAGGACAGTCGGAAATGAAGCGATTGTACCTCCAAAATAAAAGTTTGAAAAGTATGTAAATCAAAAGCTGCCTTTCAGTGGCTTAGGGAGACCTTTTGTTGAGAGGCTGGATGTATATCTCAGGGGGGTCTACACACAGAATTATTTTGTTCCTCAAATAATTAATTATAATCTGACTAATAAAGCATTTATATTTAAGTGCATAGATACAAAGCAGAGGAGATCTGTGTATGTGTATTCTTCTTCACCGGTCTTTTCTTCTGTAGCTCTTGGATGTTAGCAAAAAAGTACATGTTTACATCACCACCACTATATATTAGTGAGGTTAATGATAGTTTTGGACTTTAAGTGTGTATACGTCTAAAACAAATGTAAAATCAAATGCACCATGAAACGTAACATCTGCACGTTATAATATCAATTCCTTCAAGTTGTATTAAAGAGATAGCTTGTAATTATTTCCCCCCCATTGCTAAATTTCTGTTCAATTCAAATAGTTTTCCTTAAAATAAGAAAATGTACTAATCGTATAGGAGCTGCATAATGCTGCCCAATGAGATTGAATGTTTAGTAAATTATTTCATGACCAGTCCTCTGGACTGAAACATTAATGAATGCAGATCGAACTTGTTATTTTTATATATAGTGGTGCTTGAAAGTTTACATATCCTCATTAAAGAGAATGATGAATTCATACTAGTAATTCCAATAACACAAAACTCAAAAAGTAAAAAAAATATTACTAAATGTTAATCTAGTAAAACGAAATATTGATTTAGATTTTTTGTTTAAAATAAAAATTCTAAAAAACAAAATGTCCCAGAGAATTGAAAAGTACCTTGCTCATTAACAGTAAACCAACTCAACATTTCCATATATATATATATATATATATATATATATATATATATATATATATATATATATATATATATATATGTATATGTGTGTGTGTGTGTGTGTGTGTGTGTGTGTGTGTGTGTGTGTGTGTGTGTGTGTGTGTGTGTATAAAAATGTATGTCATGATTGCCACTTTTTATCATTATTATTTATGTTATTTTATCATTATTTTTTAACAATTTTTCTGGTAGCTGATTTTTTCTGTCTTTAATGGAGGGTTTGTAAACGTTCAAGCACAACTGTACATCATTTTAATAAATACCTAAAAGTATATTGCTGTAATCTCTTAAAGTGTGTAATTAAGTCTTTAATGGAAATTTTAATTATTGAATCTAACTTTTCATAGTGCCTAAAATAAAATAAATGGTCTCTGCAAGTTGTGAAATTGTGCTAAATGCAAAAAAAAAGAAGGACTTTTTTCTCTTTATTGACCAGGAAACCTTTTAAGGTGTTAGAAAGAGTAAGAAAGAAACGGACACCAGGACAACACTGAGTTTTCTCGAGATTTTGGATTTTCCAGCCTCTACAAGTCCAGAACTTCCATCTTTTCTGCAATTCCATATAATAGTATTTCTGATTCTGATAGATCTTTTATTCATGTGAGCATCTTATTGTGAAGGGTCAGACCGGAAGTAGGTTTGCTGTGTGAATGTAGAGAGCTTTCTGGTAGCTCCATCTGACAGCTGGGTCAGGCTGTTCGGTCGGTGTCGGGGGAAAGGGGAGTCGGTCGGATGTGGATGGTCGTTTGGTGCATGGCGCGTGTTTTGAAGCTGCTTATGGAGAAATGTCTTGGGCCGTGAGTAGTGAGGAAACAGGAAGCGATTCTTGTGGGATGGAAGAGGGAAATAGTGACAATGAAGGGTGGAAGATAGCAACATCAAAAAATGAGAAAAAGCGGAAAAAACAGAGATCAGTTCAAGGGGAATCTAGTTCAGAACAATCCAGTGATGATCATTCCATACATTCCACAGCACAACAAAATGAATTCAAAGTCATATTCAAAGTCGTTAATCAGGCAGACTCTTTTACAAATTGGAATCCGGTTCACTTAACAAAAACCATCAATAAACTTGTCGGAGAAGTCAGAGGTGCCAGAATTCTGTACAGTGGAGACCTGCTAATTAACTGCAGAGACAGCGCCCAGCAAGGCAAAGCAATACGGATCAACAAAATTGACGGGATAAGAGTTCAGTGCAGCCTAATGGAGAACAAAAAGATCAGCAGGGGAGTCATTGGAGGAGTTCCTCTAAAAATTTCTGAAAAAGAGATTCTGGAAAACATAAGCGGTGCAAAAGTAAAAGAAGTAAAACGGTTAAAAACAACAAGAAACGGAGAAAGATCTGACAGTTTATCAGTGCTAATTAAATTTGAGGAAGAGCAATTACCAAGCAAAGTATTCATCGGTTACATAAGCTATAATGTCAAAATCTACAATCCTCCACCATTGAGATGTTTCAAATGCCAAAAATTCGGTCACATTGCAGCAGTTTGTAAAGGGAAACAGAGGTGTGGAAGGTGTGCAGGAGAACACGAATATGGTAAATGTGGAAAAGAAGCTATAATAAAATGCTGTAATTGTGGTGGAGAACATACTGCTGCTTATCGCGGCTGTGAAGCAAGCAAAAGGTCTGAGGAAATTAAAAAAATGAAATTTGAGCTCGGAATAACCTACGCTGAAGCTGCAAAAAGGATCCCATCTCAGTCAGAAAAACCCAAACCTACAGTTCAACACACGGCAAATTCCAAACCTCTAGAGAATCAAAAAATTGATGAAGACTCACTTATTGTTAAAAAGACAAATTTTGTTCTTTTCATGGTAGAAGTAATTAATTGTACTGCACAGACAACAAAAAAAACGGAAAAAATCAAAATAATAGTGAAGGCTGCAGAAAAATATCTGGACATTAAAGATTTGAACTGGGAGATGGTTGGAAGTATGATGGGAGGACCGATGGGACCATCAGAAACTGGCAGAGTTAAGATGACCTAGAGTAAATTAAAAATTATATGGGCAAATGTGATTTAGTATTATGTTGGTTTAAGTTACACAGGTTTTTTTTTTTTTTTTTTTTTTTTTTTTTTTTTTTTTTTTTTTTTTTTTTTTTGGGGGGGGGGGGGGGTGAATCGTTTTCTGTTTTCTTGCTTTACTCCATATCAGTTGGTGGCGGTAATGCACAATTCACAAGTCTGCCAACCGCCATAAAACCCCATAAGAAGAAGAAGAAGGCTGTTCGGTCCCCCTCACAGCACCGTCCATGGACTGAGGAGACCTTGCAGCAGCGGGTGATAGAACCGGACCGAACAAGCTCCTTCCTCCCCGGTCCGTCCATGGACGAGCAGGCGGGCCCCGGAGTGTTCTTCGGCGGTGGTGGCTCGGGTTCGGGCGGCACCGGGAGCGTCAGAGCCCCTCAGCCCGGAGACGGAGAGGCGGCCCGGGCTCACTATAGCATCCCGGGTATCCTGCACTACCTGCAGCACGAGTGGGCTCGGTTCGAGGTGGAGAGGGCTCAGTGGGACGTGGAACGGGCCGAGCTGCAGGTAAGTACACGGTTCGGTTCGGATGTTAAATGACATAGCAGCGCCCGTTGGGTCGGTGGTTCCGGTCGGTCTGCGTGTGACTTTAGCCCGTGCGTCTGTGTTGGAAACAGGTGGACCTGCGTGATTACGTCACATTTTACCTGAGGGACAAAAAGCTTTAAGAACAACAGGAACAACCTTGGGTCTATTATCGGACAACGGCTGCTTCCCGGCATCAGACTCTGGGACCTGCGCATATGTCCGATAATAGGCGCATGATGGTTGTTTGCTTTCACCGTGAGCTGCTCTTCGGCTGTTAGCAGGGAATCCCCGCACTCTGTGCCCTGCACAGGCTGCAGATCCCAAATAAACTCCTTGCAGGATGCATCATCCCTGATGAATTCAGAAAAAAATACATAGAGCACTAATTCTAGCAGAATAACCAGGGTTATTTTAGTTTGGAAAAATTATAATAAATCTAAATTTTTTCATGAGGAGCAGGATGACGACAATGATGTTGATGGTGATGATGATCCCTATGGGCTCCAAGAACTTGAGCTTCTCTGTGATCAAGAGAGCAGCAGCTGAAAGTATCAGTTTGTCCTACTGGTTAGACATGCAGTGAGGATGCTGGTCACCAGGAACATAAAAGCCTTTCGGCTGCAGCAGCTGAGATGATTTTGTTTAGCTTTATTGTTCTGATGATTGGGGGTCAGTTTATTCCTCAGCAGATATATCCCATATTTTGGGTTGGAAAAAGGAGCTATTTTTTAACACTGTTGAAGTCTTGGTGACAACATGCAAATGCCAAGGAGAGTAAAAGCAACCAAAGTCCAAAGAAAACCTATGAAGACTACTGAAAAGCTTGGAGAAATGTTGATATGGACCAGAAGGAGATTATAGGAAATGTTTGGATCATTAATTTAATCCAGATGGTTATGATGTGTCAGAGTAAAGCTGATGCATGTCTGCTCTGTAGCTTCTGCTCCTTCTGTGTTAAATGTTATTGAAATAAAACATTAGTTTGTGTTTCTGCAGCTGTAAAATCACCTATAGCTGTTAGGATGTAGTACTGACCCAAAAAGAGGGGAAACCCAAACTGTCCTGATATCTCCATTAAAGCGTAGGCTTTAAAAGTCTGTTTTTGAATCTGAAATCTAACCCATTTCACCCTGATGGGATCTGATTTCTGCAGGAAGGGTTGCTGATAACACCCCCTCATGCAGTGATGCTTCGTTAATGAGGCAGTTCTGCTGCACGGAGCCAGAGAGATGTTTGATCCGAGGAGCTGTCTGCTGTTCCCACATGCAGAACATCTGTAAATGGGTTCAATCTTTTCGGGTTTAGCTCCTCACTGTTTTTTTCCCCTCCATCTTTAAAAGTCTTGATAAAGCTGCTGTTTTCTGTGACATTAGTCCAGTGAGTCATCGACCGACTCTTTCCTTTCAGGGAATCACTTCCTGTGCAGCCTTTTTCCCTCAGCCAATCACAGACCAGCATCCTCTCTGTGTCTCAGCTGTTGGAGAGTTGTTGTTTTTTTGTTTTTTTTCCATCTGAAATCTAATTTTATTTTCCATCGAGCCGAGCATGATTCGGTGTTCTGTTGAAGATCTGTTTGTTCTGCAGCGAAGCTTTCTCTGAGATGGACGTGTTCAGGGAGCAGGAAGATTATCAGTTTGGTTGCCACAGACAAAGAAAAGCATCTCAGGTGGAGAGAGGCTGAAACCTCAAGATTCCTGCTTTCAGCTGCAAGATATGATAAAAATCTCCTTGACCTGATTGACCTGATGCTATGATGGAACCGGCTTGAGAAGCTTCTTTTTGCTTTATTTCTCATCCAAAAAAAATTAATAACTATTATGAATAAATAATTTCTTGATGGAGAAAAGTTGATGAAAGAAAGGAAGGGAAATTATTGCTGTTCAGGAAGAGGAAAGCAGAATAATTCCTCTCTGAATTTGTACTGAGATGTAATAGGACTTTGTGGCTGCAAATAGATCTACTTATAGAAAGTTTTCTGAGATATTAACTTAATTATATTTTCATTTTGATTCCACATATCTGGCAAATTTTTAAACTTTACTTTCAGAACTTGTCAATTTCAAAGCTTCCTTTTCCTATAATATTAAACAATGAAGTTACGTTGTTGTTCCTTTGGCTTCTTTTAGCTGATCAGCTGCTGCTGTCCGAGGAGTTTCCTCTGATTCCTTAATGCTGATCTCACTCATTTATAATAACCAAGAATCTAAGGTAGAAGGTCTGAGCAAGGTGGGCATGAATCATTCTGGATCCACAACCTCAATCTACATCCCATCTGTCAGAACGCTCTGCCAGATTAAATGATGTTCCCAGTGTTAAAGCATTGCAGGAGGTTCTGATTAGAGCTGAAAAAATCCATTTGATTCATCAGTTACTGTAATCGTGAACTTATTTAGTAATCGATTAATCATTAGATTTAGAGAAACATTTTGCATTCAAGAGGAAAAATTTTTTCTGTCAATATGCTCTATGTAGAATTGCTCAAACTGCTTCAATTTCTGCAAAAGAAATTCTTAAAGGAACCTTTTGCTTTTCGATTATTAACCGATATATTCAAAACAATAATCAACAGATTAATTGATTAGCAAAATGCTTGTTAGTTGCAGCCATTGCTCTGATGTGGTTCTACCATAGTTTGGTCTGAGGGCATAAAATTACGTATTACTGGAGGTAATCCTGACTAAATATCTAAACAGATTCAATTATCCCAGCCCTTTGCTCCAGTTTCCTGCTGATCTTTCACTTTTGTAGAAATCTTAGAAAACAGCAGCAATAATCCAATTTTGTTTGTTTAATTTAATCCAAAATAATAAATGTTTTCAAAACATTTCATCTGATTTTTTTTTTTAAGCTGACAGCACTAAGTTTGAGCAACAGCAGAACTGGACCTTTTCCATTGATCTTACAGCATCAAAATAAACCCTCCACTCATGTAAAAATCACAACAGCGATTCCAATGGTTCTGGTTGAGTTGTATTGCTTTTAGCCTTAAAGAGTAAAGATGCTTTCAATAAATGCATGGTTGTAAAGAAATCGCTATTTTGATTAAGCATAATCAGTAACTAGTGATGGTGAGATGAAGCCTCATGAGGCATTGAACCGTTTGGCCAAATTGCTTCAACGATCCCCACAGTTCATGAGGCTTCATGTGAACATGTCACCACCTACTGGTGGACAGCAGAACTACAGTTTGTAATAAAATCTGTGATTTTTTTTGCAATTGTTTTTCTTTTTTTCCCCTTTTAAGTTCCCTTGAAATTGTTAATGGCTGGTGTGTATGATAACATTTTTATTAGTTCTTTTTTTAAGTGTAAAATTTCTTAGAACAATCATTTAAGGTGCACAGTTTTTCTGCCATTTTAGTGAAATAAACTCAAGCAGACAGTGAAAGTGTTTGTGCAAATTGGGCAATGATGAACAAAATTAAAGGTGTTAGTAATTTTTATTCAAACATGATATTTTTTCCATGTTTTTTGGTTTTAATCAGGTTGGAAGTTGTGTTCAACCAATCTTTTGACTAAACCGACCTAATTTACCCAATCTATATTTTTACTCGGGCAAAACAATGCAAATTAGTCTCATCAGCCAAAATAATTAAGTTTAATCACAACTTTCAAAAGGGAGAGATAGGTCTTGAACCATCAACCTCTAGCATGAGAGCCTGTCCCTTACAGAGGACGGCACTCATGTAGATGATCTGAACTTGGAGAAAATACAGGTGCTGGTCATAAAATTAGAATATCATGAAAAAGTAGATTGATTTCAGTAATTCCATTTAAAAAGTGAAACTTGTATATTATATTCATACATTACATACAAACTCATATATTTCAGATGTTTATTTTGTTTAATTTTGATGATTACAAATGACAACAAATGAAAATCTCAAATTCATCATATCAGAAAATTAGAATATTGTGAAAAGGTTCAAAATTGATGGCCCCTGGTGCCACACTAATCAGCTAATTAACTCAAACCACCTGCAAAAGCCTTTAAATGGTCTTTCAGTCTAGTTCTATAGGCTACACAATCATGGGGAAGACTGCTGACTTGACAGTTGTCCAAAAGGCGACCATCGACACCTTGCACAAGGAGGGCAAGACACAAAAGGTCATCGCTAAAGAGGCTGGCTGTTCACAGAGCTCAGTGTCCAAGCACATTAATAGAGAGGCGAAGGGAAGGAAAAGATGTGGTCGAAAAAAGTGTACAAGCAAGAGAGATAACCGCACCCTGGAGAGGATTGTGAAACAAAACCCATTCAAAAATGTGGGGGAGATTCACAAAGAGTGGACTGCAGCTGGAGTGAGTGCTTCAAGAACCACCACACACAGACGTATGAAAGACATGGGTTTCTGCTGTCGCATTCCTTGTGTCAAGCCACTCTTGAACCACAGACAGCGTCAGAAGCGTCTTGCCTGGGCTAAAGAGAAACAGGACTGGACTGCTGGTGAGTGGTCCAAAGTCATGTTCTCTGATGAAAGTAAATTTTGCATTTCCTTTGGAAATCAAGGTCCCAGAGTCTGGAGGAAAAGAAGAGAGGCACTTCATCCATGTTGCTTGAAGTCCAGTGTAAAGTTTCCACAGTCAGTGATGGTTTGGGGTGCCATGTCATCTGCTGGTGTTGGTCCATTGTGTTTTCTGAGGTCCAGGGTCAACGCAGCCACATACCAGGAAGTTTTAGAGCACTTCATGCTTCCTGCAGCTGACCAACTTTTTGGAGATGCAGATTTCATTTTCCAACAGGACCTGGCACCTGCACACAGTGCCAAAGCTACCAGTACCTGGTTGAAGGACCATGGTATCCCTGTTCTTAATTGGCCAGCAAACTCTCCTGACCTTAACCCCATAGAAAATCTATGGGGTATTGTGAAGAAGAAGATGCAATACACCAGACCCAACAATTCAGAAGAGCTAAAAGCCACTATTAGAGCAACCTGGGCTATCATAACACCTGAGCAGTGCCACAGACTGATCGACTCCAT